GAAGGATCGATAATGGCGGGCGTTACGGTCACGTGGGTACCAAAGGGATGCGTTCTAGCTTTTAGGTAGTGGGAAGGCACGAAGGGATTTCGGAGCATTTGGTTCTAATATTAACTGAGACTACGGTAACAAACTTTAATGGTTAAAATATGTGATATAATAAAAAGCCAACTTAACGAGCTTATAAGATATTAATTAAAAAATTTTTTTATTAATTTACGTCATAATATACAAAAGATAAGATAAACGTTTCGACTGTACGACAGTCTTTTTCAATATCATGCTAATATGTCAAAAAATTAATTTAGTCATATCGACCTTATTATAAATACAACATTTATGAGATTATCATATGACGAACGCAGTACAAAATTCATGTTTGTTGGCTTGAGTTAGAGCGTCAGATTTCTGTATGTCATGCTGTTATATTATGTAACGACACTGTGAACAAATTAATATAACCGCTCAAATATTACATTTTAGATTTTTAATAAATAGTATTAACTTACTTTTTGTCACGAACATAACACTTTTTTTAAAAAATTATTTCTTTTTGAATAACATAATCACAATGTGTACTTTTTAAAAAACAAATCGATATCTGTATCTCACAATGTCGGCGCGCTGTATATATACCCAATTTTTAAGATGACGTAGACAATTTTTTTAGAATATCAAAATAAGAACCGTCAAGACGCTCGGTGTCCTTTTTTAGGTTGATACTGTTATTTTCTTCTTTAATATATATCATTTCTGATATCAACCTTTTATAATAATTCTTTTCATAATCTAGGATTTTTGTGTCGTTCCAATTGAAATTGTGTGTAAATTTTACAATATGATCAGAAACCACCGAGTGCCTTGCAGAATCTAATCTAATATTATTTTTATGTTCATTTACTCTTGTACCTAATTGTCTTTTCGTTTGTCCTACATATGTAGCATCACAATTATTACACGATATCTTATATATGACCCCCGAATTATTTTGGAGCTTATCCCTGTCTTTTTGCGTTTTTATGACTCTGTTTAATTTCTTTAGACATCTGTATCCTACTGTTATATTTGATTTCTTTAATTCTGATGCTACTAGTTCCGAGATTCTTTCAATATATGGTATCGCTATGAAATTTTTATTTCTGTCGTTATTTATGATTTCATTATTTATATCTTGAGTCATTTCTTTGTTTAATCTATTAACAATAAGGAACTTCAGTCTATTATTGATTTCTGAGAAAATGAGATCAAGAGGTCAATATAACAGTAGGATACAGATGTCTAAAGAAATTAAACAGAGTCATAAAAACGCAAAAAGACAGGGATAAGCTCCAAAATAATTCGGGGGTCATATATAAGATATCGTGTAATAATTGTGATGCTACATATGTAGGACAAACGAAAAGACAATTAGGTACAAGAGTAAATGAACATAAAAATAATATTAGATTAGATTCTGCAAGGCACTCGGTGGTTTCTGATCATATTGTAAAATTTACACACAATTTCAATTGGAACGACACAAAAATCCTAGATTATGAAAAGAATTATTATAAAAGGTTGATATCACAAATGATATATATTAAAGAAGAAAACAACAGTATCAATCTAAAAAAGGACACCGAGCGTCTTGACGGTTCTTATTTTAATATTCTAAAAAAATTGTCTACGTCATCTTAAAAATTGGGTATATATACAGCGCGCCGACATTGTGAGATACAGATATCGATTTGTTTTTTAAAAAGTACACATTGTGATTATGTTATTCAAAAAGAAATAATTTTTTAAAAAAAGTGTTATGTTCGTGACAAAAAAGTAAGTTAATACTATTTATTAAAAATCTAAAATGTAATATTTGAGCGGTTATATTAATTTGTTCACAGTGTCGTTACATAATATAACAGCATGACATACAGAAATCTGACGCTCTAACTCAAGCCAACAAACATGAATTTTGTACTGCGTTCGTCATATGATAATCTCATAAATGTTGTATTTATAATAAGGTCGATATGACTAAATTAATTTTTTGACATATTAGCATGATATTGAAAAAGACTGTCGTACAGTCGAAACGTTTATCTTATCTTTTGTATATTATGACGTAAATTAATAAAAAAATTTTTTAATTAATATCTTATAAGCTCGTTAAGTTGGCCTTTTATTATATCACATATTTTAATTGTATACGAGCCGAAGTTTAATTTATAAAATATATATATTTAATGGTTAAACAATTAGAGTACACGGTGATAATTTCGAAGACCCTCGCGCTTTCGCTCAACTTTTCGATCACGCTTCTCAAAGGAGAGTGACGATCGCCTTGGCGCAATTTTGGTAAACGGCCATGTGGCCAGTGCCGCGTGCGCGCGCATAGCGATCGCTCACCCGGTATACTGCGGTGGCAACACCGCACGGGCGCCCGTATCCGACGCAAGCGCGAACAGCTGCGCACCGCTTTCAATATATATATAGTAATAACCAATCGAGACGCTTAACTATCTTTTAACAATAACCCTCTCCCCACCAGTCCCAATTGATGATCTCCGTACACATGTATCTCCCGCGTATCATACACACACATACACACACACACACACACTTACTCTCACTCATATCATAATATATAGTTTTGCGTATAATTTAAGTTATAAATATAATCCGTCTTTGTATGATCTATTTCTTACATAATTCGATAAAAAAAATAAACCTAGAATTTAATTATGAATTTGATGCTACTTAATTAATTAAATAAGAACCCCACTCTCATTCCTTTCCAAACCAAAAGTTGCAGAAGGTCCCATCCTGAGCAAAAGAGATTAAATTCTCTTGCCGAAAGGGACCTCCGACGAACAGCCCTTTAAAATAGAGTAATAGCGACCTACTCGGTCGTTGACCTATTTGGGTCTTTGCACGTTTGTTCGGGTTGGACAGACGCACCGTTCGACAAAATCAGTAGTTACGTCCTTCCTCTGACTCTTCCTTTCTTGAGTCTGGATGTAACACTATAAACTAAGGGTGCATTCCGAATTAAGCATGAAACGCGTAGACTGCAATACTGATGCGTAACGCTTTGAAATTGTTCCGTTTTTTTAATGCATGTATAAAGCGCATGAACGCTTGAGAATTTTGAAACGATCTATGCGCTACGCTACAGTGGGCTTGTCAGCTGAGAAAATTTATAATATAATTTTGTTGATATATATTTAATTATATATAATTTAAATTAATAATTTATTTAACAAGTTAGTTTTTAACTATTTATTTAAAAATAAATTTTTTTCAATAATTACAAATCATGTTGACAAGATTAATAAGCAAAATATTAATGAAAATATCAACAGAAATGGGTAGTACAAAATTGTATAGATTTATCACAATAAAAAAATATTTAATTAGTCATTCTGTGGTAGTATTGCACTGGACTTTTGATGATAACATTATCAATATTATCTTTGCATTAAAGTCTCAAAAAAGCATTGTAAATCATAATACAGAAATACATTATAATTATAATTAATTTACCTGTTGTTGCTTTCTCAATATTTTTTTACTTAAAAATAAAGTTATAATTTTATTTTCTCCTATTAGTACCGAAAATTCAGATAATTGTTTATTTGGTTCCATTGTTTGGTAATACTGAAAAGGAAACAGTCTTTCTTCTTTTTATCTGAGAGCGACGATTTTTTTCTTATATATTTGTGTTAAGTTTTTTCTTATATATTTGTGTTCTACCACTGACGAGGTACTGTTAAAGACCGTCGACCCTGAGTAAATTTCTGTCTCTACCAAGTGGGCTCGGTGGGCCCGGCATCGGTCGATAATCATAACAATAAATAGTTAATAAGAACATTTCATTCGTTCTACTATATTGCAAATTATAATTATATAACTTCCGTAAGGCTGTCCGGTCTTTAATAGTACCTCGTCGGTGGTTCTACATATCACAATATACAATTTTGCAAAGTTTGAATCAAAAGTTTGAGTACAAAGTTTGTCTGTCCTTACCTTCAGTATTCGTGCCGTTTCAAGTTTTCGATGTGCAATCGGTGAAAATAGTGAAAAAGTGTTCCGAATTATGTAAGAGACGTATAGATCGCATGAACGCATTAGTAAAGAATATAGACGAGTATAGAAGCACGATTCTTGGTACCCCGCGGGTCGCACGAGCTGGGGTACTTTGCTACAGTTTACGTTACTGTACTATCTATAGCATTTCAGTACAGTATACGTGACGTAAACTATAGCAAAGTACCCCAGCTCGTGCGACCCGCGGGATACCGAGAACCGTGCTTCTATACTCGTTATATTTTTTGGTATTAGACGCATCAACCACAGTAAAACCAGTATGTGCACTCCATCCTTTTTTCTGATTTGCGTCGATCCGTCATGTTTTTGGGTGTAATCAATCAGATGCAAGATCAGTGTGATGCTCAGAGACGGAATACTGTGGTCACAGTGTCACAAGCGCCACTGCTCAGTTACAGACCACAGAAGATAGAAATTAGATAGAAGTTTTTATTAGATAGAGATTTTTAACAATAAATAATCGGATTATTTATAACTTTGTGCTTAAATTAGATACAATAAAAACTGGGACATTTTAATAGTTGATAAGTTACTGGGCTACCCAAAAACATGGCGGATAATCGGAAACGAAAGATCAAAGGTGCCGACAGAGAGTCGACATACTGGGAGTCGATTGTGTATCTCAAAACCTAGTGAAAATGACAAAAGTGAGCATTCACTTGATTGGCTAATTCTTATTATAGTGAAAACACGAAATATTTCACGTAAGATTATTCGACAAGAAATATTGTGTCAAATAATGTCAAAATGTGTCGAATATCCTACTGACGTTATGTAGAATAGAGCGCGATTAAAATACGGTTAAAATTTAAACAATAAAAATTAAAATGGACATTATTAATGTTATATTGTTGGTAGAAAAAGAGAAAAGAAGAAATATAAATAAAAATTGGCAAAATAATTTAAATTTAATAAGAAAAATATTAAGAGATACACAAAATCCGTTTGATATCCCAGATAATTCATTTCTTAAACTGTATAGATGATATATAAGCAATAATTTTATATTTTATTATAATTTGTTATTATTTATTATATATTTGTTATATTTTATTATATATTAATTATTATTTATTATATTTTGTTATATATTACAATTATACTTAATTATTTTATATTTTTTTACATTTTTTATATTATTATAGATTATCCAAGGTAGCAACTTTACAATTAATAAAAGAATTAATAAATTTTATGCCAGTTCCAAAAAGAGCAACAGTAATTCCTCAACAATTACAAGTAAATGTATAATAGCTATCTAATTTTTTACTTTATTTTTTTTATATTATTTATTTATATATATATTTTACTTTATTTATTTGTATTTTAATTGTTATAATTTTAGATATTTGTAACACTTCATTTTCTCGCATCTGGGTCTTATCAAAGAAAAGTTGGACAAGATTTCTTATCATGCATGAGTCAAACATCAATCTCCATCTCTATACATGCTACAATAAATGCATTAAATAGTATTATGGGACATTGGATTCAGTTTCCAACAACAGACATAAGGAAACCACAAATTAAAAAAAGAGTAAAAAAAAGTTGTGAATAATACACCTAAAATTTATTATATTTATATTTATTATATTTTTATTTTTTTAATATCAAATTTTTCGAAAAAACTGGATTTCCAGGAGTGATTGGAGCTATTGATGGAAGTTATATTGCCATTTTTCCCCCACAAACTGAGAGAGAACACTTATTCATTAATAGAAAATTATATCACTCCTTGAATATGTGTGTGTGATGATTGTATTATACATATAAAATAATATATAATATACATATTATACATATAAAATAATATATAATATACATGATAAGAACAATTAGATAACATTAAATGCAATATAAATGTACAAATAAAATGCAATAATAATTTATATTTATATCTTTCTATATTAGGTATCTTCATACAATAATGAAATATTAGCAGTAAATGCGATGCATGAAGGAAGGACGCATGATTCAAGAGTCTTTCGTTCTTCGCATTTATTCCATCATTTAGAAAGGCAGCAAGAAGCAGGTGCAAGAGGTTCATGACTTATAGGTATGGCTAATAGTAAACTCATTTTTTAAGCATAGATTATGCCTAATGAAATAAAGGCAAGGGACTATAAATCATTTATTTATTTTTTATAATTTACTAATATGCTTTTTAGGAGATTCTGCCTATCCGCTTGTGACCGGACCGACTTCCCAAATAAGACGGAAAACGACTTACCGGCCAGCAGGCTGCGAAATGTTCGCCTTCTTTGTGGTCGCCAGGTACTTTGGCCTAAATAAGTACCAAGGTTGATTATGCTTCTAGTAATCCTTATTATCCTGTTTTCCGGGTTGATGTCTCCATCTGCTTAAGCTGTTCCGGTAAGGATGTATGTCGTCATCACCATTGAGACGCCACGTCGACGAGATGATCCCAAGATGGCCGCTTCAACAGGTTCTGACACGTCGGTTGACGCAATACCCTGCGGTGATTGTTCTCGGTTGTCTCTCGACTATGTGATGCTGATTACTAATTAATGTTGTCCGTTTCAGGTCTCGTTATGAACTGGGACACCTCTTTGATATCCCAGAGGACCTATGGACTCGCTGGAGAGGATTGCCGTGAATACGATTAACACAGGTAAGTATGATGACACAGTTGTTTTTGATCAGTCAAATAATTTATATTTTCTTGTTTACAGATCACTGTTCACATACAAATAATTATCCGTACACGTCACACGATACGGTACCCGTGATTCGTTTACACTTTATTTGCCGTCGCGTTTGCGTTAACAATTTTTATCTCGTACGATACGTACACTTTCGCGTTGCGATTATTATCGGCTCGCGTGTCGGCTGGTTACTCTCAGCTTGTTACTGAGCTTCGAGAGCTCTTCGGACTCCCCTGAGTCCTATTAGGAGTTTCCTCCTTAAGTTCTTGTTGGAAAAGAACTCCCGAGCGCTGTGGAGCCCTTCCTTTATACCCCCGACGCGGTAGACGGCGTCCCACTACGCTAGCGTCGGCCAATCAGGTTCTCTCCCCACCGCTTGACCATCAGCCAATCAGCGCAGAGCAACCTGAGCATTGAGATTGTCTCTTCGGCTTACCGTATTTACGTTTTGTTTGTCGGATACTCTGTTAATTGAGATATTTTGTTCGCTAATCTCAATAAAATAAAAACAACAGAAATTAATAAATACTTAACTAAAACTCATTCGATCTATCTGATTTACATTTAAGCCTTCGCCTTAAATGTATTTTGACTACTCTGCCCGAGTAATCTTTTACTTTATTTTCCCTAAACTACTATTACGTTTTTCTAACTGAAACTCGTCCGATTCCTTCAAGTTACTTCGCGTTATTCATAATAAAAGTAAATTAATCATTATTCCGCGAGTATCTTATCGGACTAAAATAAAACATTAATCATGCATGAAACTTACTTATCTAACTTAACCTACATTACTATTTTATAATTATAAGTAATTAGTGATTATAATGCGCTTATCTCTAACTTATATCTAATTATCTCTAAACTCTTAAATATCTATATAAATACTTTTATATATTTAATCTTTTTGTGTTTTAGCTACTTTTAATGTTTTTTTACTTATTTTTACTATTATTTTTGTTTTTGTATTTTTATCATTGTTGAGTCTCTAGAACTCAAATCTCTTTATTGTCTAAAAGTAATTTGATAATTTTCATAATGAAATAATAATCTTCAGTAAACGTACTTTGATTGTTATCATAAGTAAAATAAAATACTTAATTTACATTACTGTTTTATCTCTAAGTGTTATTTGATATTTATTATAAATGAAAATAAAACTTTAACTTATGTTTATCATATCCAAACTAAAATGCTTAACTTACACTCCAGGTTTACACCTGAGTGTATTTTGATACTTACTATGACGAAACTAAAATGTTTAATTTTATACTCTTAATTTATACCTGAGTATATTTTGATCTTAATCAAAACTAACCTAAACTGTTTAACTTACAATCTTAACTTATACTTGAGTGTATATTGATACTTATCCTAACTTACAACTAAAGTTTTAACTTACATTACTAATTCGCTATTTACATGCTTCTGCAGGCTTCGGATGTTCCTTGGCTGCTGTCTTCTCTGCTTTGAATGCTTCTCTTAAACCGCGATCTGCCAACGGTCGCATTCCCCCTTCTTCGGCGTTCTCGGACTGCATAGCTTCCGGGCACGACGAATCCTTAGGTTTGGGAGAAGGATCCCTTGCTCTGGATGTTTTTGTTTTGTTGCTTAGTTTTATGTTTTATGTGGCTTTTATGTCTGCGTCTACTTGCACTTTTGTAGCGCATTACCGCATCATCTGAGGAGTCGGATGATTCCTCTGCGTACGATAATTTTCTCTTCTTTCTTTGATTTTCTTTGTGTATAGTCGTTAAGTTTTTTGAGTCTTGTAGTAGATCTTTCAGCTCGCGTGGTATTTTTGTGATTTTCTTTAGTTTAATACAAGTTGATTTAGTTTGTACTTTTTGTTGTGTTGATGTTTCTTCATGTTGTTTTTTGTGTTGTGTTTGTATTTTGTGATCTTGTTGTGTTTTATTGTGTTGCATTGTGTGTGTGTTGTATCGTTGTTGATATATTATCGTCTTCCTCACTCTTTGTGTCGGATAATATTTTTTCTTGTTTCTCATCATCTTCTTGCAGGTTACTTTGGTCTGCGAATGATGTTGATGGCATATCCTCTAGTCGGATATAGGGTTGTTCTTCTCGTTGAATTTTTTGCCTCGAGTTGTCAAAGATGATAACCTCTTTGTCTTCGTCCTCACTTTCCATGATGTAAGTAACTAGCTTGGAAGTCCATCTTGCGGTTACTTGTTTGGATGTTTCGTTTCCGATAATGCTTTGCGCGATGTGTAAAGGTTTTTTCGACGTAACTTCGACCTCTTTATTTCATCTTACTGTCGTTGTTGAAGTGACGATGAATTTTGTATCGTACGTCTCGTCGTATGTCACAAATTTGTCGATATATGATATCGCATTTGACGTTATCTTCTCGACTTTGTGCATCAGGTCGCTGATTTTTTCTTCTCCGTCGCTATCGCTTTGAATTATCGGTGTATTTGTAAGTAATTCGATGGTTTCCTCGAGTTTCCTCGAGTTTCACACAACACATAACAACAGCACGATCTGCTGTGGAAAGATGCATAGGTATTTTAAAAGGCCGATGGCGATGTTTACGAAAAGAAAGGGCATTGCATTATCAGCCAGAATTTGCAGGTATTAAGCATAATTTCCTCCATAAAAAGACAATATTTTTATTTATTATCGTATTATTTTTAGCTCATATTATAAATGCATGTTGTGTTCTACATAATATTGCAATAAAATAGAGAATTCCACCAAATGAAATATGTTTAGAGGATATAGATCAAGAAGCACCAATTCCATATAATGGTGTTAATGGAAATAACGCTGAACAAATACGAAGAGATATTATTAGATGGTATTTTGAATAGTTTTTTATTTCAAACATACATATATTGCTGGAACTTTGTGAAGACAAATTAAACATAAAGTTAAACATTTATACTCTCGATCTAACAATAAAGCAATTAATTATAATCATAAATCTCGGTATAATCAATAACAATCTCAGTCTTATCAAACTTAAATTTAAGATGTGATCACAGTAATACATATCACGTTGGACTTTGCATTTAAAAATATGCATGCGATTATTTTCTATTTTTCGCATTTTGTTTGATTTCATAAATCAAATAAACAAAATAAAATAATCAAATGACTAAAGCCGAATTCACACCTTGGCAGAAAAGCAACCAATTAGAACTCGTGTTAGTAGTAAGTTTGCTATCACTCTAATTGTAAGTTCATTACCTAGTAAACTCATTACCAGCTATCCAGCGCAAGTGATTGCCTTCTGCTTTTCTAATATATGAATTTGGTTTAACATAAATCAAATAAACAGAACAAATAAACTAAAAGAGAGCAAATCAAATATATTATGCTACTTTACTTTTAACTAAATAGACTAAATAAAAATAATAATGTATGCATATATCACAAAATTGACGATGTACCTGAGATTAGTTTACAGTGTTTAAATATCTGTTGTTAGATATTGTCCCAGTAATTCTTCTCGCAAAGATGATACAAGATCATTCATATTCTGTAGTTGCTTTAAAATTTCCTTAAAGACAGTTGAGTCTTCTTTCTTCAATTCTAATTTATCTTTTTTCAATTCTAACATTTTTTGTTTGATATTTTCGGATAAAGTTGATTTCTTTTCTAACAAATTAATTGCTGTTGCCATAAGTCGTGGTTTTTTTATATCTATAATATAAAAAAAAATAACTGGCAGACTGGCAGAAAATTGAATACTAGGATAACGGAACATAAAAAACACATCAACAGAAAATGTTCTAATAAATCGGTGGTTACGGATCATAGATTGGAGTTCTCCCATGATTTTGATTGGAGCGAAGTTAAAATTTTAGATAAAGAACCTTATTATAATAAAAGACTAATATCGGAAATGTTATTTATAAAAAGACAAGCTAATGGATTGAATCTACAAACTGATACGGAATTTTTGCCTGACATATATAACAACATTATAGAGTCTTTGCCAAAATTATCAGGGTTTATAAACAAACCTTGATATAAGAAGGTAAAACATTGAGGTATTTTCGCATTTGCGATCTGAGAGTTGTGATGGTTTAACGTTCTATTTTGTTCTCTGCAAAAAACCTTGTTTAAAGGGATGTCGGATCTGATACGTGAAACTTTTGTAAAATTATCACCGATTTGTTTGAGTGAGTGTACAGTGCATTTTACTTATCAGACTATAATGAATAATCGGATCTTGTTTATTTAGATCTTGATTTAATGTTTAACAACATTTCATCGGGAGGATTCAATCAAGATATCTCCCTTGACCAATAAATCAGGAAGTCTATTCTCATGGGTGATTGCATGGTGCGTTCTCTCGAACAAAGTATGTATCGGAAACGATGGTTGTCATACACGATGACTTGTTCAACAACATATGTATTGAGACAATAACTGACTTCACATATTTATTATCTTGACTATGTTAACTACCGTCTTTAATGTTTAATATCACGTTCTAATTTATAATTAAAATATTTGTATTGCGCTGAAGAAGGCTTGAAATGTCAGCCGAAACGTTCGCATAATTGTTTTATTTCTTATATATTTATTTTCTCATTTTAAAATACATTTTATTAATATTATCTACACATAAATGTTTATTTCTTATGTATTTATTTTCTCGTTTTAAATGAATTTTATTAAGATTATCTGACAACTGCAATTTGTTTAATATAGCTCTTACAGCCCTTCTTTGTTCACAAACATTAAAAAAATAAATTATAAAAATAATATAATTATATATATATTTTTTGTAAGGGTTCCCGAAAATTTGAAGACCAAAATATAAAGCATATAGATACGTGATTGATAAGTAGGATTAAGGGGGATGAGAATCTGCGAATTAAGCGATGCGCTCCCTTTCGAGAGAGGGGGATAAGAGAATCGAGGCCTCGAGGTAACGCAGTGTTCGAGAAAGCGAGCGTTCTGTTGAGAGTGTTGACCAAGTCGGGTCACAGTTAATAAAGCGAGAAATTTCTGAGAAAGGTCTAGTCGGACCATCGGAGATCCTTGAGCTGAGTTTACTTCAACGCCGTATCAGAGCCATTTGTCTGTTAAGCGAAATATATTACTTTGCATTTCAAACACGAGAAAACTGATTAGCAACCAGATCATATCCCGGACAAGATCATCCTTACATTTTTAAATTTTATTAAAAAGTTTGATATATTTTCTGACTGTTTTGCGGTATATTTTTCTGTATCATCTAAAGAAAATCCACACGTTTTATTATTCTGTTCCTATAAATAAAACAATAAAGTTAAATTTATATTAAATTTATATTAAAGTTAAATTTAATCTATATTTGTAAAAAGAATTAATATTATATAACACATCTAAAGAGATTTTTTATACATACCCAATTTTCCTTATTTTGATGTACATTTTGGAAGTTGGATAATGATAAAACAAATGTATCATATTTTTTTACTTTTGTATTTGTTTGAATACCACACTTTCTCTGTTTTACGTGTATATTAGTATGCAATAATGATACTGATTGTACATGCTGTTTAGTTTGTTGAATAGGAGAATGCATTTTATATTGAAAAAGTAATGCATCATTCGAATAATCATTTGAAAATGTTTCTTCTACTTCATTTTCATTATTTTCGATATTATATGATAAAGTAGATGAACTCAAGGTTTCATTGTTATCATAAGTTGGCATTGTATTTGTAAATCCACCTTCTGGTATTTCTTTTAAACCACTGGCATCTGATGTTAAAAAGTTAAATAAAGCGTTCTCTGTTCCAGATAATTGCAGCTCTTTTGGTGATCCGCCACCTGTTCCCATCATATAGGTTTTGTGTTTCGCCACTTTCTTTAAGACATTAGACTTCCAGTCTCTCCACATCTACAGAAAATATAATGAGCAACAAATAATTTTTTTACATAGTTGTACGGTTAAAAAATAAATATACAAGATGCCTCGAGACCAAGGTTGGCGATAAGTATTCTAAATAAATATCGAGTTATAAATAAGTTCCAATGCTACAAAAAAGAATCTGACATTATATTATCAGTTTTGGGATACCTTGTATATAATTATTGTAATTATACTCTTTGTCTGTGTGTGTAAAAGAAGCAATAATAGATTTGTTCTTATTATGTACTTAAAAGAATAAGTCGACAAATAGTGCAATTATTGATTTATTTTTATCTTATATATACAACAAACTAGTCTATTATTATTTTTTTCATTTTTGAAATTTTTGTCATAATTTTATAATACTTCAAAAATCTATGTCTATTATTTATTAGTTATAAATTGTTATATATTTATAAATATTGTATGATATAATAAAGATTACCTTAGCACATTCCTTTGGTGACTTGCGTGGTCCATATCCTGCCGTGTTTAAGGTTAAAGATAATTTTTCCCACAATTCATCCTACAAATATTTAAACAATCCAAATGACATATCAAATTATTATTTATAATATTACTTATAGAAACATATATTTGCAAGAGATATATAAATGTTATTTATAACACTTACAATTTTTCATTTATTTTCGCTGTTGTATCTTAAGCGTCCCCGACCGAAATCAGGATGTTGTTTCATAAAACTAATTAAGCAAAATTTTTGCTTTTCTGTAACATTCATTATTAACTGTTAACATGAAAAATTAACACGAAAAATAATTCTGTCGGTTTTTTACTCTCTGCTCTAACCACTGCTATCTCACGTTTCTGACGTTTTATTCGCGTGAGCATAGGGATATTGCATTTTCACTTTACCCATAGCCAATCGCGCGTATTTTTTCGTGTGAGATGAAAGTACGAGAAGCGAGAGAGATCGATGAAGATACAATATAGAAAATATTGAAATGTTAAAAATAAATAAATATATTTATATCTTTTCTTATGATATCTCACGTGCTGTTATACCCTACCAGCACATGAACGACGAGCAAACGTTTGGTGAACGAATTTTCATTTGGAAAGCGCGTAATCGTGCACTTGCCAAACAAAAATCGCTGAGCGGCGACCGCCGAAGATACTCTGCGGATTATCTCGTTTGTTACCTAAACATTCCGAAATCATTCGGAATAATTGAGTATTTTCGGCCTTTATAAACTCATCAGTCAACTATTATATACTTTTAATAAACAGTAAAATTGCTGTTTTTAATTAAACGCAAACATCAAATGGACGTTTTTGTTGTGGCATAACCGAACTGTTTTCGAACAGTAAAACAGAACAGATTCGATCGTTTACCGAACGTTCTTTCGTCATTCGTGTGCTGGTGGGGTCTAGTCCTTAAAAGACGGCAAATAAATATTAATGTGTTCTGAGTAATATTTTTTTTTTAAATAAAGAACGAAAGCACAAATAACGAAAAAGATGTGAAATATCAAAGCTGCGTATAATAAACATAACCTCGCATTTGCCACGTCATGTGGCATGTGGCTCACGTAAAAGATCTATCCAAAGCCAGCCCATACAGCACAGATTATTGCAATTATATTGCAGCAACGTTGCAATGTTGCAAGTTGCAATGCAACATTATAAAGACATTGCAGAGATATAGGTGCACAAAATTCCAGCACACTTGTAGCAACATGACATTAATATTTTGGAAATATTGCATGTAATCCAAATTCTATAATTTATATATTGTAATATATATACATATACCCAGCAAACACCAAATTACAGCTATATAATTGTTAGTTGTAATTTCCCACTCAAAAATATAATACGTGTATTATAACAATTATATTGTTGAGTGGAAAATTACAACTAACAATTATATAACTGTAACTTGGTATTTGCTGGCTATAATACTATAATAAAATAATTTTTTGCAATATTGTACAATAAAAGATGTTAACGATAATCAATAATTTTATTATCTTCCAAAAAGCGGACATTTTAACATTGCTGCAATTCAACAGCAATGATGTAGCAACATTTTGCAGTGAATTTGCAATATTGCAATATTGCGGTGAAAGATGTTGTAATGTTTTTGCAATCTAACGGTGCTGTATGGGAGAGATATATATATGTACAAAATAGGTACCCCGTTGTACTCAATATTTTGAGTTTCCAAATATTTATAATAAAAAAATCTTTGAATTAAAAGGACATTTATTTGCTACAAATAAATATATTTAATTCCATAAACTTTTATAAAATTTTTTCATCTTTTAATTTTGAATGCGTCCAGTTACGGCACTGATTAAATAATTCGTTTACAAGAGTTTATGAAGTGTTCTTTATTTTGAATTTTTTATTAACTTTTTCTGAAAGAGTGTGGTATATCTATGTATATATATATATATATATATATATATATATATATATATATATATATTCCCATACAGCACCGATAGATTGCAAAAACATTACAACAATCTTTCACTGCAATATTGCAAATTCACTGCAAAATGTTGCTACATCATTGCTGTTGAATTGCAGCAATGTTAAAATGTCCGCTTTTTGGAAGATTGCAACAAAATATTACAACAATATTGCAATGTTATGAGTTTGCAATAATGCATTGTTATTGCAACCATAAACTAATGTTGCATATACAGGTATATAAATGTAAATAAATCATTAATGAAAATACGTTGTAGTTAAATGTTATCTATATTTTTGTTTATTGCAATGTAATCACAAATAAATATAATCACAGTCGATTATATATAATCACAAATAAATATTAATCACAGTTGATTATATAATCATAAATATAATCACAATCGATTAATCGAAACTTAAAGATAATTTTAAATTTGGCGTATGGGCTAGCATTAATTGCCCACTAGCTATAAAGAAACTTAAAGATAGTAACGACGTAGAGTTTGAACCATAAACTATATAATTCCAAACATAACATTTGAGCCTTAAAACATAGTTTGTTTTCAGTTAAGAGAACTTAAAAATAAAGATAAGGAATTATGTTAAAACAAATAAAGTAAATCATTGAACATAAAAAAAACTTAGAAAGAGCATTATAAATATTATAAACTTAACGAGGCTGATTTTCCTTTCCTGTTAAGGATCTGTAAAAATAAAATAATATTAAAATTCATATACTTACATAAAAAAAAAAAAATAAATGATTTGTGTAGATAATCCTGCTAGATCAATATTAGTTTGATCTTCAATAATTCTCCTAATATGACGTTTTGAAACAGATATTTTACCTTTTAATATATTAGACATATTATACATTTAAGTTTAAGCTTGTCAGTACAAATACAAATTTTTTAAAATAAATTACATATTTTTTAGTTATATCTGTAAATGTAATATATAATTCAAATAATTCAATAATTATTAATTAAAGATGAGAGGAAATAAATCCTACATACATAAGAATGCTTACCTATTAATGAAATGCTAATATATACATATATCAAAAGTATGTACGTATTACTCAAGATATTATACGTAGAATCCTCCTTGCCAAAATGTTTAGTAATATTCTCTGAAACAATATAGTAAAAATATTTTAATATAAAAACAGATTAATTTGCCTATATTTATTTGTATATAATGTGTTGTTTATACTATTACACATAATACAAAAACATATGCTTATTCTAGAGACAAAATCACATATATCCTCTCAAAATTTCAACTTGATTAGAACAGTAATAATTATATTTATCTATTATGTGCCTTTATATATTTTCTTATTTCAATATTTCTTGCTTTCTTTCTGGTTTTCTATTTCACAATATACAAATACATATTATCTGCAATGCGACAAATGTATATGCACAGTGCGAACTGTATAAATAGTTGAAACACTCATCACAAGTAAGAAATGATAATATAAAATATACACACATAAAGCACTAGCTACAGATTTATATATATTATATTACTTTTTATGTATTATAATTATTTATTTTAACTGCTGCCTATATTTACCTCTAAAGTATCTATAGTTTCATATTACTGTATCATAGAGATATGTACATATATCCCATAGCAAAATAGAAAATTAAATAAAGCAAAAATATTCACTTAAAAATATACGAAGATATATCATAAATAAATATATAGTTTTTACTTTCCCAATCAGTCTCAGTCTCCTTGAGGTTATAGAGGTTATAGGTTCTTATTAACTTTGGGACAAGTAATTCTCTTTTATAATTACGAAATATAGATTTTTAACTTTATAGTATATCGTTATAATTAAACATAGTATTATCAAAAAAATGCTTACCTTTTCCTTTACACAGCAAAACAAGTCAATGCGAGTTACTGTACACGTGATAACCACGAGTTGCAACGGTCTACGTCTACTACGTAGCGAAGCCGGCGCCTACTATACACGCACACATGTATTGCGCAGAGCGTTCGGCGCAGAAATTTAAGCCAATGATTTAATAAAATTATTGATTATCGTTAACATCTTTTATTGTACAATATTGCAAAAATTATTTTATTACAGTATTATACCCAGCAAATACCAAGTTACAGTTATATAATTGTTAGTTGTAATTTTCCACTCAACAATATAATTGTTATAATTAAACACGTATTATATTTTTGAGTGGGAAATTACAACTAACAATTATATAGCTGTAATTTGGTGTTTGCTGGGTACATGTATATATATTACAATATATAAATTATAGAATTTGGATTACATGCAATATTTCCGAAATATTAATGTCATGTTGCTACAAGTGTGCTGGAATTTTGTGCACCTATATCTCTGCAATGTCTTTATAATGTTGCATTGCAACTTGCAACATTGCAACGTTGCTGCAATATAATTGCAATAATCTGTGCTGTATGGGTTGTATATTGTGCATGTATGTGTGTATATTTGTATCATATTTTAAGCATATAAAAAAGATATTTTTATCCCATTTCTCAGGTAGCAAATTGACGTCATTGTGACGTCTAATGACATCATTTTGACGTTTAATGACGTCAGTTTGCTATTTGAGTTTGCCTGACTTTTTATTATGTTATGAACTGTAGCGCAGTACCACAGTATACCCAGTAGCGACAGTGAGCGTCGGCACCTTTGATGTAGTATGTCTCAACTCGGCAACGTCACGTGATATGCCGCCATATTGCTAAGGGTAACGGGCGCTACGATTCAAATGTATGTACACACGGGGATAGGAATAATTGAATACGAGCAAGCGTAAGATTAATAAAACGCATACCTTTATTCTATACTAATATAATTCATACAAACAAAATGAAAAAGCGAACGTTTTGGCTCCTTCTTTTGGGCCATTTTCAGCGCAAATCTTTGTTATAATTTTTTGAAGTTACACGCATATTGGGCATAATCCGACATGCTTCGATATTTTGATATTCGTATTATGACTATAGATATTCGATAACGCTGTCTCAGTAAAATATTAAAATAATATATAAAGATATAATATATAAATAAAATATTATAAACAAATATAAATATATTAATCTGTGAAGCACGTAATCGAGTTATGTCCGATATATGTGTGACACGTTAATTTCACGGTCACATTTTTCCAACCACAATTTTTCTCTGAAAAACGTTTTATACACAAAATATTAGGTAGAAAATATTTGATATATAATTAACATTTATATATATTTATATTTGTAAATTACAAATTTATTAATAACAATTAGTTTTATATACCTATCTGGATCTTTTGGGAAAAAGAAAAACTGAGACCAGGTTTACGCTTAGAAATATTTTTACAATTTTTCATAGCGCAACTGTATTCACCTTTCTTCACAGATGACATCACGAATGAGTAAAGAGGAAACAATTAAATTTCAAGCGAGATTTATCGAGCTAATTATCTTATTACGCGATTTCTAGCACTACACAACATATAATAACCCGCTTACAGCAGCTGACGGCAGCCATGTTGCTAAGGGTATAAGTTCGCACATGCGCACTCAGATTTGAGACACGTTTAAATGGCCCACTGTCGCTACTGGGTATGGTTATACTGTGGCAGTACTTCAATCGATTTTAATCAAATATGCGTTATAGCAAAGAATATAGACGAGTATAGAAGCACGGTTCTCGATATTCCGCGAGTCGCACGAGCTGGGGTACTTTGCTATAGTTCACGTCACGTATACTGTACTGAAATGCTATACGGAGTTGTAGAACAGGCTTAAAGGTGACTCTATAGATGTTTCGAAGCGTTGCGTTAGCCAATCAGAAAATCTTTACTCATTTTTGTTATTGGTCAATCCAATGTCTTCCCGATCACAACCTATAACTAAAGAATATAGATGAGT